TGGGAGAGACATACTCTTCTTTATGTCTCTCCCTTCCTCTCTATCTCTCTCTCTCTCTCTCTCTGGCATATATTCCCCACGTAGAAACGACGCATCCTCGCATTTAGGATGAAATTCGTGAAATCTCCTTGGCGAAAATTGTATAGTTGGATATATGCCTGCCATCCGCGCACCCTAGAATTACGGCCCTGTCGAGTCTAGTATCTCCCTCTTGCTTAGCCCTGGCAAATTTATTCCATCTTGTTCCTTACTCGGGCTTGATACTCCATATTATTTTTTTTTTTTCATTTTTATTATACTTCTTTCGCCAGTTTCGGTGGTTCCTCTATGTCTTTTTTTTTTAATCTGTCATCTTTATTTACGTCACGTCCACTGCAAGCTTATTTGAAAACATAACCGGAGTCGAGATTTTTAATAAAGCTCGTCAGACACGTCGGCCATTATTATTATTATGTTCCGTGAGTTAATTTGATTATTTTTGTTTGTTCGCCAACCCGTGATTATGCCGCATTTCCAAGTGCATAATTTCGTCGAGTATTCGCGCTTGTCACAACATATGTCGCTCATACTGTTACCACACACGTCCTTGATATGGCGTACAATAATATGGTAGACATATTGATTCTGACAGTTTGCAAACTGGCGACGTCCTCCTGCTCGCCGGAAGTTACCCTTTCCATAACCCATTAATCCGGATACGCATATATATATATATAGTACGTTCATACAAACCAGTGCAACGTTATTCGTTAGAAAAATATTTTCACGAAATTCTACGTTGCAAAAATTTCAACGACAGATGGGGTCTGTATAGGTCTGTATGGATCAGTGGCAAATCCACACTCATGAAAACCGTCACGAGGTATCAATTATTAAATTACCAATAATTAGCACTTCGTGTCTTAATTAACCGATTAGAGGAATTTTCACGCTGTCGCTGGTCACTATTCGAAATAGCTTAATATTCGCAAACAACCCGTAAAACGACTGAACGCTCCACTGTTCTCTCAAGCAATCGAGTATCGACCGTTAAGGCTGATCCGCAAGTACCGCGAAATCGCGATTAGCCTTGGCCATCTAGAAAGTAGCCCGTGTTAAACTTGCGGGTGATACTACGATTCGCGTGCATTTATACGCGTATCGAGTAACCGAGGATCAATAATCGATAATCTGTATCGATGCAATACGTAAAGCCTACGGTATAACCTGCGCGGCGTAACCTTCGAGCGTTTATCGTTACATGGAAACTGGAGTTTAATGTGTGGATTACCAGTGAGGATTTATACGAAAGCTTCAAGTAGCGACAGTGTATGGGGATTGATTCTTGTTGGGCTTTAAATGTTCTTCTCATATGGGAACGATACTTTGGTTCTGGTGTGAATTCATCTCTTTTTCCCTTTTTTGATCTATTTTTTCCTTGCCTTTCTTTACCATTGAAATTATCCTTTCGAATTCCAATTTTTACGCGAATTCGATTAAACGCTTGATACACTGAATTTTTTCGTGAGAATTTCAACATCAGATATATATATATATATATATATATATATCCTTTTTCTTCCTCTCTGTAACTCTGTTTCTCACTCTTTTACAGATTCCGCAGCTTTTTCTAGTATCCAATACAACTTCAATGAACGTTATTGCATCGCGTCCTTCATATTTCCCGCGAATTCCTGTATCAGTTTTTATAGCAAGATTTTCGCTTCAGAAAAATCCGGGAAACACTCGTCGGTTGGTATAGTAGAATTTTTAATATTAGTTTTCACAGGCACGTCGGGATAAAACCACATAACAAGAAAGAGGGAAACACGTGGCACTCGACTGTCAAACTTTTCATCAATCACCTCGTTTATTTTCACAATGTAAATTTCGACATCTCGTAATACGACGAAACGTAAACGCCATCTTTATCGCCAATGTCCCATTGCATTAATTATCCCCCAAAGTTACCACGTTATAAGGTCCTTTCGACGCGTAAAAGCCGAGATATCAAACGGCGGGAACGAGTAATTATTTAAAATAAGCCTAACAAGGGGAGGACGCGAGCTTGGGGTCACGGATTTAGGAGTCCTTTTCGGGTAGGGAAGTACTTTGTAATAACAAACTACAGGCCAAGTGGCAGGATGCAACTTGGACCCGTTTTCGAGAAAAACCAGTTTGAAAAACGTAGTACTACTCAAATACCTGCACCGTTGCAAATATTTTCGAGAAGGCAGCGTAGCTCGGTGGCAGCGTTCCTGACTACCACCCGAACGGCCAGGGTTCGATTCTCCCATCACACGTATATTTTTTTATATTAATTCTTTTTTTTTTGCTACTCGACAAGCCATGTTTATCTATTAACAATTTTGTCAATTTACGTACGAAACGAGTGCATTGGAACACTATTATTTTTCATTATCAGACACTGGTTTATTGGAAAAGGTTATAAAGATTCAAAGCGTATTATTAGGTGTACATATATTTTTATTATTCGCTATCACTACTGGCTTCTGTATAGCCTTTACATTTATTTGGATGGTATGTATCATAAAAGCATGCAAAACATAAATTATGTTCACACCATGCACATTTTATGAATGCAACTTCTTGTTCGTTGTAATGGCAATGTTCTTTTGATAGTGACAGAACAAAGTTAATTTCGTTCACATTTAAAAACATAGGTCTGTCTTCAGTTAGTTTTTCGGCGAACCAAGCATATTTCAGCATATTGTAAAATTGTGGAGCGCTTAATTGATTATGAACCAAAGACTATATTTTAATCGAATCTTCACGCGATGCTAGTTCTCTTTGGTCTTTTAATAAAGCAGGAGCGTTTTGTATGCGCGTTATTAAAAGTTGTACCTGTCGATAAAAATAAACATCGCACGGTTGATAAAGAGGCGTACACATTGGTGGTATAAATTTCAGGGTGCACGTCGTTTCTCCTGACTCATTCCCGAAAACGTCGTCATGCATAGTACAGTCTGTTTTTCCACCCCAGGAATCAATAATGAGCAAGAACTTCTCATCCTTCACGTAAGAAACAAGGATTGTTTCGAGATAGTTCCTATAATGATAAACATGGCTTGTCGGGTAGCAAAAAAAAAAGAATTAATATAAAAAAATATACGTGCGATGGGAGAATCGAACCCTGGCCGCTCGGGTGGTAGTCAGGCGCGCTGCCACCGAGCTACGCTGCCTTCTCGAAAATATTGGCAACGGTGCAGGTATATGAGTAGTACCGTTTTTCAAACCGGTTTTTCTCGAAAACGGGTCCGAGTTGCGTCCTGCCACTTGGCCTGCAATGTGTTATTACAAAGTACTTTCTTACCCCAAAAGGACTCCTAAATCCGTGACCCCAAGCTCGCGTCCTCCCCTTGTAAGAGCTTTACAGTGCACTGAAATCATCCGCCCGCACGTGTTCTCCAGAAACGCGAGAAAAACGATAATTGAATAGGTAACTGCACCGGACGAAATTTCAAACTATCTAATTTCTTGCACTGCAAACGGTTCTCGCGATTGTTTGCCGCCTTTGGCCGTAATGGCCGCGCCCTGAAATTCACTGACTAAAATAATTCGAGTCTCGTCGGGCTGTTTCGTACAGAGGCTATTGCTCTGTGTAAATATTTACTATACATATGAGCTATACGCTATGCGCAACATATATACATATATATACACTAGAACGTTACTCAAAACTCAGACAGCCCGGTAGAGTTTATATCGAGTTTTATTCGGCAGAATGCACAGTGGCGCTAGGTTGCGTCCGATATGCTTACGCCTTTACGCCACGCGATGCAACAGCCTGCAGTACCAACAGCCCGTCCATACTTCCGGTTTAACGTGCACCACGGTCCGTGAATTAACGAATATTTCGTTGGGCTCCCTCAACCGAGAATTCACTC